CGAAAACAGAGTTCTCCAAACGGGCTCTAATTGAAACTGGCCACTCTAAATTCATAAATACCGATTATATAGTTGTTGTCATCCAAGAATGGTAGATTGAAATCATAAATTCTTATTTGATTTTTATTATCAGACAACATCATTATTTTTAAATCCAAAATGGCAAGGGTTCTCACTGATAGCAAGGTTTGTAAAGCCAAATCAAATGGTAAAGTCGAATCGTAATTATAAAATAAACAAAAAAAATTAAAACAAAGTTCCAAATTAATAATACTATTACATTTCATTACTTAAAAATTTACACATGAGATCATAAGCAAGATTTATAAGCCATTTTTATAATGTAAAATTTATTATCTATTTCTATTATTATTATTTTATAATTATTATAATAATATAATAGCAAAAGAAATCCTCATAAAGAGTCTTAACAATATTTCATATATAGTACTCCGTATGTATTACCTCAGTCGCATTTAATGAAGTAGTTGAAAAAAGTAAAAGTTGTGGTTGAGATTTGATTATAATAAAGTGAAATGGTGTGGATCACATATTTCTTTCCAGGAAAGGAAAGATGACACTTAGGGTCTGTTTGCAATTCATTAAAAAAAGTGCTTTTAACTATTTTTTTTAAGAAAAAAGCACTTATTTTACCAAACACTACCAACTTTTACTTCCTCGGTTTCCGTGAAGAATCTACTTTTTTGCTTTTTCTATTACACAAAAAGTACTTATTTTACCAAACACTGCCAACTTTTACTACTAATCACTTTTTCCCCAAAAGTGCTTTTATTTAAACACAAGTGGTTGCAAACAAAGCCTTAATTTGTGACAACCCAAAAAAGAAAGTAACACAAGTAAAATGAATAAGCTCAACTTCTAAAACGTCTTAGCAACAAATTCACATGGGGAATGTCAAAAAGTAAAAAGAGGCTAATCCATTTCATTAAGAATGCAGCTAATTAAATGTACGTACCGCTCGAGGTAGTAAAAAACTAAGGGCCTCTTTACTAACAGAAATATTTTCCAGTTTTCCAGAAAACTGGAAAACTGGAAAACAGAAAACAGGAAACGTGTTTACCAAAGAAATTCCTGGAAAACTGGAGAAAGGAAAAAAGAAAAACGCGTTTACCAAATCGTTTTCCAAAACGGAAAAAATGAGACATGTCTCTCTTTTCCTTAATAATTTGGAAAAGTGACTTTTACTAGTTTTCCAAATTTGGAAAACGCAGATGCTACAGTGCCGCTGCAATGAATTTGCATACTTACACCTAGTGGTGGGTCCGGTCCCGCTCCGATGTCGATTCTATTTCGATACCTCCATCCTCGTACCTTACCCCTTACCCCTACCCTACCCACCCAACCCTACCCACCCCACCACCCAGCATACCCATTTTCCCGTATAATGACCCTACCCCCACCCCGATCCACCCTACCCTACCGCCACCCCCCTACCACCCCGACCCCACCCCGACCCACCCTACCCTACCACCACCCGTATATTACCCATTACCACATGCCCCTACCTCGGCCCAACCCCACCGCCATCCTACCCCCACCCTCGTACCGCCATCCTACCCCCACCCTTCCGCCATCCTACAACCATCCTACCCCCCACCCTACCCTTCCCCTACCTCGGCCCCACCCTGACCCACCCTACCCCCCGTATATTACCCCTCACCCTTACCACATACCCCTACCTCGGCCCCACCCCATCGCCATCCTACCCCCACCCTCGTACCTCCATCCTACCCCCACCCTTCCGCCATCCTACAACCATCCTACCCCCCACCCTACCCTTCCCCTACCTCGGCCCCACCCAGATCTCGGGCCCTATCGCCATCCTATCCCACCACCCTTACCTTACCCCAACCCAACCCTACCCACTACTCCCACCCTTACCACCATCCTACCCCCACCCCTACTCCTTCCCTACCTCAGCCCCACCCTGGTCCCGGCCCCACCCTACCGCCATCCTATCCCAACTCCATACCCTACCTCTACCTTACCCCAAACCCTACCCACTACCCCACCCATAACTTCCCTACCCCGACCCCTACGAGTAGGTATGTGTGGGTATGAAGGGTGGTGGTGGAGTATGGGTAGAGTGTAAGATCGTGGTAAGGGTAGAGGTAGGGGTCAAGGGTGTAGAATTGGAGAACTGTGTGAAAAAATTGATGAACATGTTTTCAAATTTGAAAATGGAAAACTGAAAAATAGAAATAGAAAATTGGAGATAGAAAAACTGAAAAATAAAAACAGAAAATTGGAGAACGAAAAACAGAAGTAGAAAACAGGAAAATATCTCTGTTAGTAAACAGGCCCTAAACTTCTCCTCGCCCAATGCAGATAGAATACATTGATACTTACAATCAAGGTTGTTAAAATCTCGATTTAAATCGTAAAATCGTACGATTTTACGATTCTACAATAATAAACCGATTCAAATCGCAGGTAAAATCGTAAAATCATAAAATCGTACAAAATCGTAACAAAATCGTACAAAAATCGTGTAGAATCGTATAAAATCGTATCAAAATCGTAGCAAAATCGGAATAAGTTTTTTTTAGTGAAAATGGTTCAAATTTATTAAAATTAACTACTACAAATTGATACAAAATTTCAATAATAATAACGTCAATATTATATCTAAAAAAGTAATGGATTCTTGTGTTATTTAATTATTTTTTTGTTTTACATATGTTTAATGTTATTATTTACTCTATTTACAATATAAAAATAGTTTATAAATCTTGTTTTTGACCTTGTAGGTATAGTGGTATGTAATAATAAAATGACATAATACCATTAACTTGCAACTTAATTTTAATATTTATTTATTTTATAATTATTAAAATATGTTTGATAAAATCTTACGATTTGCGATTCGATTTTACGATTCGATTTTCAAAAACATCTACCGATTCGATTCAAAAATACGATTTTAACAACCTTGCTTACGATAGTATTTTTTAGTATAAAATACATGATCTGCATCAGGTGAATGTCCGGCCCGTCTCAAATTATGAAATGGTAGACATGTAGAGTTTGATAAATGATATCAATCACGTTAAGTCCTCATGGCCAAATAATCCGGCCCGCACCCATAGGGTGGTTTTGTTTTGGACGAAGGGGTCACTCAATTTTTTTTATGGCAGGAAAACAAATCGGGGTAAATTTTGATGCTTTCTTCGTAATGTAACTAACAAAACTTATGTATTCGTTCTTTTGGGGAATCAGGAGCCATGCAAATATTAAGAGGAATCAGATAGAAAAGTTTCATCTATTTTCGTGAAGGCGCATTTGAAGAACCAGATTTTGATCAAATCCTACCAATCTACCATTGCATGGAAAAAGCAGTGGCGATTTAAAATTTTAATTAAGAATCATTAATAAAAACCATGCCAATTAAAAAAATAAAATTAGACTTAACCTTTCAGTTATCATATACTGCTAAATCTTTCTCTAATACAATTAGCTATCTTCTACCCAAAATACCATGGATAATGGATATATGTGCCGATCCTAGCTAATCTGTGATGGAGGATTTCTTTGACGGATCATTTTGGGCCTTTTGGCTCTAATTTATTTATCTACAGGCGGATTGACTAAAAGGAGGAAGGGCAAGATGGAAGTGGATGTTTAATTTAAGACTTGGCCACTTGGGGTATGGTTTTCGTAAATACAGAGCAGGAAAAATGAAAGCGGGTCTTAGGTTCTACTGGGATGAAAACATAGTAGCTTGATGAAAGGATTTACACTATTAAATATAACTTGAATCGACATTATGTGTATTTATACTATGAGATTATGTGTATTGGAAAATAGATATACACATGTCACTTTTGAAACGTGTGTGTCATTAGACACTAAACATGTGAAAACCCATAAAAAAAATCACTTCAGTAAAATATTTTTCTTCATTACAAATGATTTTTTGTTTTACCAAAAAAAAATTAAAAAATGATTTTTAAGTCATTTTAGAGATAATACTTAATAATAAATGTTAGATCATGTTTGAGAAAACGTGTTTTTGAATATGTAAAAGTCGGTGTTATTTGGTAAAAAATCATTTTTGTTTAATAAAACACGAAAAAAGTTTAAATCACCTCCTCATGTGGTTTCAATTTTTAACTTTTAAGTGCTTAATTTTAGCATAAACTATCACTTCAAAACACAAATTTCAGTTTTTTTAAGTCAAAAGTTTAAGATATTTGCATATAAATTTTTCTTTAATCTATTAGGTTTACGAAATTCAGGAGCTGATATAGGAATTTGAGATGCTCTGAGTTGAATAAAAATTATACTAGATTTAAACATTATAGGTGTTGGCTGAATATGAAAAGTGAAAAAATTGGAACAAAATTAAGTTGACATGAGCCTTAGCCCACACATAGACCCTCATCCCCTGCTTACAAAGATATTTTCATATAACATACACACAAGTTACTTGGGCTAATTATATTATTCAGTATAAAAATATTATTTTATTTTTTCTTTGAATACACGAAACACACACAAGTAAGGTATTTTAATATTCTATGTTTCGTTTTTACATACACATATTACTTGGCTAAATATTTCGTCCGTGCATCGCACGGGTGAGAATACTAGTTTCAACTAATAAGAAACATACTAATATCCCAAACCTTCATCCCCAACGTCCGGAAATGGACCGCCGTACGGACCTCGACATTTGGGTCTCTTCCCAGCGGAATTTTTTGATGAAATTTTTTGAGCATGTTCTTCATCAAGTCTAGTTTATCCATACCAAATTTCAGCTAAAAGTTCAATCAAAAAGGTAGTCAAATAATTTTAGGAAGATAATTGCGCCAAAATATACACTTTATGAAGAACATGCTAAAAAAATTTCATAAAAAAATTACGCCCGAAAAGGCCCAAAAGTGGAGGTCCGTACGCCGGTCCGTATGGGGACGTCCTACATGAACTTTTCTCCATCCCCAAGTACCCAAAATCTCTCTCCGGCTTATTTGCTTTTTTCTTTTCCATTTATATCTTCGAATTCCTTTTGTTTCGAATTTCATTTTTCTCTGGCTGCTTTTACCGTTTTTTATTTATTTATTTTAGATCTGCGGCATGGATTATGATGTTTATCGTTTTCTTGCAGTAGTAAATTAGTCAAAACGATTCTTCTTCTTTTCAAAATCGTGTTTTTTAAATCCTGGCGAATCGCAGGCTTGTTTATGCGCGGGCGTGATTATGTTTTCATGTAGTCATAAACCATTCAAAATTCGCTCTTGTTTTCTGTGCAGATGTTCTGCATTAGTTGGTCGCTGTTGTGTTCAATAGTTGAAGCACTTCTTCGATGTTTTTGTTTTTGATTTGTAGTTGATAATAATTATACCCGAAAAGTACAGTTGATGATGGAGGGAGATAAAGTTTCTGAGGGATCTGGGAAGTCACGGCCTGTTTTGGGAGACATAACAAACCACCTGGGAAAAAGGGGTTTATCTTCGATTTTGGGTAGTTCAGGGAAAAAAAGGTGGAGCTATGGAGGAGGTGAAATTTGGATCTAAGTGTGTTGTTGAAGATAATAAAGGAATTTTCAAAAGAGTTCGTCTTTCACCTAAAAAATCTGCTGAACACCACAGCCCTTTGACAAAAAAGCCATATTTGATAATTCAAAGAACCCCACTGAAAACAACGACCCTGATTCTTCACATCTTGTTGGTAAACACAGTACAACTTCCACGAATAGTAGTGAGAGCTTGAGTAATTTGAACCCCACAAACTTGTGCCCCCTAAAATTTGTGGGGTTCAAATTATCATGATGCTGAGAAAACTTTTGATACTTATGAAGAGAGAGCGGCCAGTTCTGAAAGAACCGAAAGTGATACTAACGGATGCCAGAATGAAGTTGATGAGCAAGGAGCTGAAAATCTAGTAATAAGTCAGTTAAGGTCAATCGACCATTCAAGATTTCCCGACTCACAGGAATCAAGAGTCGGGCTTGAGAAATGCACTAGAGTAAAGGTGGGTGATGGTTGATCTGAACCTGTTACAGGCATTGAATCCACATAAAGTCTTGCTCTTGCACTTTTTGCACCAAAGGTAAGAGAAGCTCATATTATATCATCTCTTGGAAAATTCCATACAGGGGAGTAAAACTTGGTAACTTCCCTCAAATAGGATCATCATCAGTTCTTACTTATCCACTCCTAAAAATATACTTCAACTACATTTATATTTATGATCGAGTAAGTTCTTTTTAGCATAAAACGACACTCCTGTTTCTGCATGTGACCTGTATTTTATTTCTATCTTGCCATTGTTTTGTTTTTGTTTAATGCTTCTTAAAACCAAACTATTGTAAACAATCTTGTTTATAATTGATGTGGCATCAGTTTTGCTTATTTATGTATATGAAGAAGTAATACTGATAAGTTGTATATTTCTTTTGTAGCTGCTTATATGTGTTTAGACCTCCACTACCAAGACACAAAGGGTCGATTAGCTGGTGAGTTGCTATAAAAAATAAGTCATTTCTTCATATTATGATATCGAGACATTTAGGTTATGTTTTCGTTTTGGTGATTGCTGTTTTTATTTATAAAATTATTACTACTTTAATCTTGATAGCTTTAAAGAAGAGCCTGAAAGAAGCAAGCATTTTAACAGAAAGAAGTTTCAAGGTAAAGGCACCTCAGAGATATGGTTCAGCACAACACTGATGTGCCTAACTTGGAATCAAGTTTATGGAGTCAGTGGAGGTCTCTCTTCTTACACATGGAGAACATATATGAGTGCAAAACTAACCAACTTGTGAGTAGATCATTTTATTTCATAGATGATCTTATTTAGTTGCTTTGAATAACTAATGAGAATTTGACCAATGATCATCATGCATGTTCTGCTGCCCCATTGATTCGCTGCAATGTGAGCATATTAGAGATCAAGGTTGTTAAACTCAAGATCCTAGCTCGGATCAGAGAGGGTCTAGGAGATCGTAACTCGAATCGTAAGATCCTAGAAACGGAACTATCATATATATATATATGTGTTTGTGTGTATTTAGATACACATGTGTATATATATATGTCAAGATTGTAGAGTTAACTCGTTAACTCGTACGATCTTTCGCGCTGTGGGTACATGGTCAAGTTAGGTCGCAGCGTGGATCAGAAATTGCAGCCAGATCGCCGGATCGACGAGTTAACTCGTTAGATCGCGGAATCGTCGATCTCCTTCGATCTGCGTCGTTCGTTTCTGTAGGAAAAGAATACGACGCACAGAGTCAGAATTCCGAAACGACGCTAAGGTCGGAAAATCGGAAACGACTTAGATTGAGAAAAGCGACTCAAGTTTTAAAAAAATAATGACCTGCGTAGACCCCACTCCCAAGGCGACACCTTCGCACCTGAGAAATAACTAGAGTGTCGCCTTCTTCATTCGTATTCTGCAACACTTGTTTTGTTCTCCTCCAATTCTCCTCAGAAAACGTTTTTGTTCTTTCTCCGTTACATCTTCTAGGACTTCAGATTTTTATTTACAAGCTGATTTTTTGAATCCTTTTTCCATATTTGTATTTTGTGTTTTGCAGATTATTTTATACCATTGAAAAATGACATTTTGATTAATATTTGAAATTTTTTAAGTTTAAATACACACACACACATAGGTATCTAAATACACACACATACAAATATGATAGTTTCGGTTCTAGGATCTTACGATTCGAGTTACGATCTCCTAGACCAATCTCCGATCCGAGCTAGGATCTCGAGTTTAACAACCTTGGCTGAGAGAGATAACAAACCTTCAAATATGGGAAACGGTTTGTAATGATTTTTTATATTCTGTTTTTGTCATAATTTTTTGAGGTCTTCGTTAATATCATGTTTCTTGGAACTGCTAATAAAAATTATAATTAAAGCCCATTAGAGCCGCCTAATTACTTAGAGAAAAGCCTCTAGGACTGGGAAAGCACCAAGCTACAAACCCTATATGTATGCATGGAAACGTGAGAATCATGGGGGAACATGAAACGGGAAATCTCATCTTTTAATAGAAAAAACAAGTGTTAGGAGAGTTTTCAAAGACCAAAACAAAAATGTGCTCTTTGCTTCATAGATAAATCATACCCTTTTACCATAATCGTAATAGTGTTCCAATAGATCATAAGTCTTTATTCTTATAATATTGGATGTGGTTTTGTATATTTTTTTTTCTTCCTGGGGTCTTGATTGGTTTCATGTTTCTGTATGAAATTAAAAAAAAAACATATTTTTTTGTCCAAATGATGCCAAACCTAATCAAAGCTCATTCAGGTATGCCAATTACTCTGAGCAACTGCCTTTTGGCGATTGTTTGAATACATGATTTGGTTTGTAAAGTTTTTTTAGGTCTTTATAATATCATTTTTCTATCAGTATTTGTTATAATTTTCTTTTTCTTCTTGGTCTAGACAGTAAAATGTTCAATTAGAACTTTTTTATAAATAGTCCTTCTTTTGTTCAAAAACCAAGATAAATTGGAATTTGCATTTCCCCTACTTGTGAACTTAGAGTCAACTTTTTAAAAATTTATATGCTTGTGCTCAATCACACATTAAGAGAGATCATATTCTAGAGCCAATAACATGTGACATTGTTTGATAATAATGAAAAGAGATATTACACATAAAGATGGAGTACATATAAAATTGTTGATCTTCTACCGCTTATGAAACACTGCCTTCATATCTTGCAGATGTAATCTAGGTGGTTCTTTGTCTTGTTACCAAACCAAAACATTGATTAGAAACCAGAGCTCCATCGAAACTTGATGTGGTTATCCAAAACTGGAATACAGTTCCTATACATTACGAAATTGAATATGATTTGTCTATGGTCATTACGTAGTTAATACTCTTTGCACTTCTTATAAATTACGAAATTGAATATGAATACAAAACTAGGACACAGTTGACAGTTCTTGCCTTTAGTGGGTCTACAATTAACCAATCCAAAACTGGAACAAAACCAAGGGTGACCCATCCTAACTTTGCTCCAGTTCCCAGTCCACCACCCTCCTAATCGAGATGGGGACCATATTTTATGGGTAAGGCCTGCTTCCCGTCTCGCTCCACTACTGATTCTGTTGCGGAATCAAAATAAAGAAAAATTAACACCCACTCTGAAATCAGCTTTCTCCAAGACTCTGATAGGAACCAGACAAGTTACTGTATATTAATTCAGGAAATACGAGTCCTGAAGCTATTACAATGGCAGTCAATCGTAATTGACGTACAAAGAGAGGAACGGCAAAGAGGAAAAGAACAATAGAGACACTTCGAGTAGTCTCAACACTCCCAGTCCCAAGTCCCAAGTCCCAACTAATTTCCCCCCTCTTTCCCCCCTCTTATTATACCCATCTCCTAAATGGGCCAGCCTTAGTTACTAAGTAACTGGGCCTTGAACCCACTTATTGTACAATATCAAATACTTGCTATTATTCTTATTACTAGTATTATTTTAAGTCTCTATCATCACTCCCCCCTTTGACAACCACCTTGTCTTCAAGGTGGGGAGTAAGAGCAGCCATGCCATCAACTTCCTCTTGACGCCTCTTCCTTCCTAGTATCTCCCACATTGCTGAACCAGAAGCTTTAGTACATGTTCCTTCAAAATGACAAATGGTGCTGCTGCAGAAGATAGATCGAGTGCAGTTTCATTTGTTGCAGTAGCCTTCAAGCACTCACTAGTTACAAGTGTTTCCTTGTTTTCATGAGACTCCTCAAGGATTCTCACTTCTGAGACTATCAATGTATTGGATGCAGATTTGATGTCACTCAAGTTACTCCACTCATTGTCTGCAACAGGTACTATGCAAACTTCTCCATTTACCATCCACTTTTCTGTACTGCAGTAAGTATCAATGATAGAAGAATATGTAGTAGCAGGACTTGTCTTATAAAACTTCAACAGCCAACAGAAGTTGTGCACAACAGTGCTGCCATGCGATTTCATATTCTCCTACCGCCAAAGTCCCAAGTCTAGGAAGCTTTCGTCTTTCCTTTCCCTTATAGGCAGAACTTCAAGATACCATTCAACCCCTTCATCTTTCAATGCTGCAGCAGTTCTCATAACTATGGAACATGAAGGCCTAACTTCCATATAAAGCTTGCGGAATTGGTCTGCTTGCAGGTAATCATTTCCTTCACCCGAAAGAGACATGGGAATTTTCAATCCTTGCTTCAATTTCACATTTTCGCGGACTTCAATATAATTTTCCACACAGTTTCCAGCCTTTTTTCCCAAAGCATTAGTTAAGGATTGACTAAAATCCATGGGAAAATGCTGAGACGTGCTGTTTAGTGCATACTTGGCAGAAAGTACCAATTTGCAAACTTCAACATCAAGAACCAGAAGCTGGTCAATTATAAAACCAGGCTTCGAGATAGACTTCTTATCTCCAGCCCCAGCAATAAGATCAATGGCTTTGTCTGGAAGATACCTATCAGGAAGGTAACTAGCTGAATGTTGCATAGCTTCTGTCATAGCCTCGTAACTATGTTTACACTTAGGATGGGATTCATATTTCTCACATAGCCCTCGCAGTAACTGGACAGCATTCTCATGGCTCGGTTTCTCATTTATTACCAGCTGAAACCCAAGCAATGGCTTTAACAGATTAGACGTGTCATGTTCGAATCCCTTACTACCTCTCCTATCCATGCCAGAACCACTTAGAGTAGGGATCTCATCAATAAGAAGAATGTTATTTCCTGGATTCTTAACCTCCTTATTTAATGTAGTCACCCCAACCTCCAATGCACCAGAATTATACAATAATTTCTTCATACCAATGAGATGCCCAGTTAACTTCCTCTTTGGTGCAACTTGATAACATGAGTTTAATTTAGAGTCTGGAACTAACCTCAACTCAAACTGGGGAGCAAAACCTTGCAAGCCATTGTAGTACCGAACAACGAAACCGTGCTTTTCAATCTTCATTATCCATCCCTATTCGATTAGTCCCTCAGTGGCATCAGTATGCGAACTGGTGATTTCCTGAAGCTTCTTTCCATCATTCCCCTTTGCTATTTTCTCATTTTTCTCAATACTGGCAAGTGAATTTGTTATCACAATGCTCCATAATTGCGCCACTTCCTGAGATATTGCAACATCATCTACTGGCCGATGCATTGTGGCAACCATTTGTGTAGATTCTGATTTTATTTCATTTTCTATGGCACTGGTGAATTTTGCATCTGTCACCCCGTTATTAATTCCATTGATATAAGCAGTAGACGAGGTAGCTTGAGATTTATCTACTTGTCCAGTGACATTAAGGACTTCCAGCTTAACAGAGTCTGTAAAATTAGCTGTACCTGAGCTTTCAGAAGTATTTGAACCAGCAATTTTAGCATCAGCAGATTCATGTTCCATGGTAATTGAGGATTGAGTCACCCCAAAAAATTTCTCCTCACATCCCTCATCACCATAAATGAACTTATCTTCAGAGGGGAGTTGTGGCTGACTCACATACTGCTGAGGGAACGATGCTGACTCAACTTGAGTAGTGTGAGAAGCCGAAATCTGCGATGAAACCTGCAAACTGGTTGAGTCAGCTAGCGATGAAGTCAGTGAAGTGGGAGATGAAGTTCGCGATTGCGAATTGGAATAAATTGGCCGACGGCATCTAGGAGGGCTCCTTGCTCGGCCTCTAGTTCTCCGGCGACGTTGTTGACCCAGCTCCTTGCAAAACTCGTCCAACCAGATCCTCCACTTTTTCTCCCGATCACTTTCTACCTTATCCGAGGGCTTCTCCACTTTTCCGCGCGCTTCTCCACCTTTCCCCTGGAAGCATCCTGATCGGATCTTCGCTGCTGACTGCACGGGTCCTTTCCGCGGGAGTCCTTTCTGCTTTGCGTAGATTGGAGCTTCTCCAGTTGTCCGCGCGAATCAGAGGCAGCCGGTTCTGACCGTCGATCTTCTTTGCGCAAACCAGAGCGCTTCTCCCTGTTCTCGCGCAAACCAGATGCGGCTACTTTCTGATCACCATGTTTGCGTTTCTCCACCTAGTGTTTCCTGCGCTGCTCCATTTGTTTATCGCGTGAATGTAGATTGAAGATTCCCTGGGTCGACTGCTCTGATACCAATGATAGGAACCAGACAAGCTACTGTATATTAATTCAGGAAATATGAGTCCTGAAGCTATTACAATGGCAGTCAATCGTAATTGACGTACAAAGAGAAGAACGGCAAAGAGGAAAAGAACAATAGAGACACTTCGAGTAGTCTCAACACTCCAAGTCCCAAGTCCCAAGTCCCAAGTCCCAAGTCCCAAGTCCCAACTAATTTCCTCCTCTTTCCCCCTTCCTACTCTTATTATACCCATCTCCTAAATGGGCCAGCCTTAGTTACTAAGTAACTGGGCCTTGAACCCACTTATTCTACAATATCAAATACTTGCTATTATTCTTATTACTAGTATTATTTTAAGTCTCTATCAGACTCCTCGAGTTGTTTGAAATGATGGCCTTTTCTGTGACTTTTGTACTCCAGGACACAGGGCAGCCAACTGCCCAATGGTGTTGGCGGCTAATATACTTAAGTGATTCTTTTGAAGTCCTCGTGAATCTCGTGATAGAATACTTTAGAAATCTAACAGTAACACACATCAGCGATAAATTAATTCGTTTAAACTTTCATTTGTTTACTTCTTGAGTGTTTGAATTGGTTTTCCATTTGCATCTTTTTCTGCCATATAATGTTGACCTTGTATTAATGTATTATATATCTACATACCAAATTGTATTAAATTATTGTTGTTCTAAATTTTTGTTATCACACTTTAATGTATATTTACACTATATATACGGTTTGTTGAAGGAATTTCATTGTCCACAAAACCTCATTCTACACTTCCCATTAATCCAACATCCTCAAAAGCTGAAGAATTGCAAAAATGGTACGTCACTACACCACAAATATACATAATTTTGTACCAATTCATTCCGTATGATCTTACATTAACATTTATTCCACATTGCTTTATGCAAGGCGATTGACAATAGTCCTATTCTTGATGCGCTAAAGATATGTCGCGAATATATTAACGCGGCAATTAACCTTGCAAGTCCAGTAGTTGAAGAAATTTCCAAAATATCTAATGTACCTCCATCCATCCATTCAGTATACTTTACAAAACTTAAAACAAATAAGAAATAACTAATAATAGCAAGACATAGTTCCATTATAACAATGACTGCTGGACATGTTACAGGCGAAACCCATTTGGACTCCCGGCAAAATCAATTTGCAGCTTGAAGGTGAGTCTTTGGTATATGGCTTGTAGCAATTGTCTGAAAACAGTTTATGCTGATTGTGATACTTGGTTTTTTTGCATGCATTGTGATAAGGAGGATGCATATGGTACTCCAAGATTTGATATCAAATTACCCATGAAATATGTGGTCAACCTTTTCTGAGTTAAAAAATTAAACAAAATTCATGACAATTCTTGAATTTTTTTTATGAAATTATTCGATCCAAAGTGAATGTCTCAAACACCAATTCTACTTCAACAATTGACACCTCAGTTTTTTGGCAATGCGTCGAGAAACTTCTAGTCATGACTAGCAAATAAATTATGGAAGTGGAGCTAGAGGTTGACAAGTTACCAGCCAACACTAATTTAATATTTTAAATTTATATACATGAACTATTACATTTTGATACTACACAATATGTTGACTCTTCTTTATAAATTATGAATGGAAAGAAGACATCGTTCCAATATGCAAACAAGCGCTTAGACAAAGAAGAATATATTGTACGACTGAGGTCACAAACAGGTACCTATCAAACCAAAGCATACCCCTCCTGCACCGTAACATCTTTGCATGATGCGTCTCATTGATCCACCAACCCCACCTTTGTCAAAGATGAAGCTCCCACACTCGTGAGTAGATGATTTACCTGTTGATTTGAAGCGCAAGAAAATGCTTGATTACTTGTCACTATTTCCCACTATTTCTAATACTACTACTGTTTTTTTAAAACTTTTGCTTTAATTTTCTTCAAGCGTTACAACCCAATAAATTATTTGCAATGGAGCCAAAGATTCATTATTTTTTGGCTTGAGAATATGATTGAATAAAGCAAAGTGGCTCACCAAACTGTCTGCTCTTCTTTGTTATGAAGCAGCAATCAGTCCATACAATTTTGGACTCGATTTTCATTATGGGTCATCCGGAAACAGTCTGTCTGTGCTTTAGTACAGGGGTAAGACTACGTACATCCAATCCCCACTGTAGGTGGGAGCCTTCATGGCACTGGGGTAAATGATGATTGAATGATGATTGTTACAACCCAATAAATATTTGACTATGTCTCCAACCAAAACATTTTTGTGTTTGTTATGTATGTTTGTTGTTATATTTAAACACACACAACAAACACAAAAATGTTATGATGGAGAAATAGTCAAATATTTATTGGGTTGTAGCGCTTGAAGAAAATTAAAGCAAAAGTTATAGGAAAACAGTTGTAGTAATAGAAGTAGTGAAAAATAGTGACAAGTAATCAAGCTTTTTTCTTGCGCTTCAAATCAACAGGTGAGTCCTCTACTCTCGAGTGTGGGAGTTTCATCTTTGATAAAGGTGGGGTTGGTAGATCAATGTTGGTTGCAACAATATAATGAGATGCATCATGCAAGAATGTTATGGTGTAGGAGGGGTATGACTTGGTTTGATAGGTACTTGTTCGTGACCTCAGCTGTACAATATATTCTTCTTTGTCCAAGCGTTTGTTTGCATATTGGAACGATGTCTTCTTTTCCTTCATAATTTATAAAGAAGAGTCACATGTTGTGCAGTGTCAAATTATAATAGTTCATATATATAAATTTAAAGTATTAAATTAGTGTGAGTTGGTAACTTGTCAACTTGGAGCTTCACTTCCATAATTTGTTTGCTAGTCATGAGTAGAAGTTTCTCGACGCATTGCTAAAAAACTGAGGTGTCAATTGTAGAATTGATGATTGAGACATTCACTTTGGATCTAATAACTTCATAAAAAAGTTCAAAAGTTGTTATCTGAGTTTTGTTAAATTTTTTAACTTAGAAAAGGTTGATCATATATTTCATGGGTAACTTTGATATCTTACATTGGAGTACCAATTGCATTCTCCTTATCATAATGAATGCAAAAAACTGGGTATCACAATCTGCATAAACTGTTTTCAGGCGGTTCATACAAGCTATATACCAAACGAGTAGTCATTGTTATGATGGAACTATGTATTGCTATTATTAGTTATTTGTTTTAAGTTTTGTAGAGTATACCGGATCATAGGATGGAGGTAAATCAAATATTTTGGAAATGTCTTCAACCACTAGAATTGCAAGGTTAATTGCCGTGTTATTGTATTCACGACATATCTTTAGCGCATCAAGAGTAGGACGATTGTATCGCCCTGCATAAAGCAAGGTGGAAGTGTGGAACAAATGTTAATGTGAGAACATACACAATGAATGGGTACAAGATTATTTATATGTGGTGTAGTGACGTACCACTTCTGCTATTCTTCAGCTCTTGAAGATGTTGGGTTGATGGTGAGTGTACAATGAAGTTTTGTAGACAATGAAATTCCTTCAAAACCCCGTATATATAGTGTAAATATACATTATAATGATAATAAGAATTTAGAACAACAACAATTTTATACAATTTGTTATGTATGCATATAATACAAGGTCAATATTATATGGAGGAAAAAGATGCAAATGAAAAACTGATTCAAACACCGAAAAAGAAAAAGGGAAACATGAGTAGTTATTTGTGGGCTTGCTTCGGTGGTTAATTAAAAACGAATGTTTCTATTAAAGTAGACTAAAAATGTATGTGCATCACCCTCCCAAAAAATGGTGCAATAGAATGTAGTGGAAATATCCCGTGTTAGCCCCTTTTGTCTCTAGCGTTTCATTTATGTCTTCATATATTTTTCCTTTCAAATCTAAACTTTTGACTTTTCAGCAATTTCTTTTTATTTCAAAAATAGTCTAAACACCGAATTAAAGTCAAATTGAAAAAACAAATACCTAAAATTTCTTTTCGATCGCCATTGCTCATCTCTCGACTTCTCCACGTCACCTTTCCTCTCTTCTTCTTCTTCTTCTTCTGTTAAACCTTCATATCTCCTTGGCCAAATCAGGCCGGGCGGAAGAGCTCGCGCTGGAGTTGGATGAACTGAAATTGCTCCAAAGGATTGCAAAGAGTCTGCGCTTTGTCTCTCTCATTTCCTTGAAATTCGCAACATGGAAAAGCGATCGATGTTTATACACATGTAATTTTTAAATAAAAAAATTAAAATATCATGATAAAATTGGATAATAGGTATCAACATGAAACAGGTATGATTTGAGATTTTCAGCCTTTTACTCACTTTTATTTTGATTATCTGCTTGCTACACCTGTAATGTTGTCTTTCTTGCTTTAGCCAATCTGCATGTGTACAAATGTACAATTACATTAGTATTAATGTGAATTCTGCTTGTGTTTTTCACATATTCTCATTAGCTGGTGTAGTATTAAATTATTAATTTCATTGTGAATGTGACTTTGACGAAAACTCTTACAGATATAGAATATATGGTTCATTCAATCATGTTTAGATGGGAAATAAATGTTGGAACTCTGTTATTTATCCAATTGCCAAGTTTAGAGATAATTTTGATTCTTGTATAAAAGCTTTTGATTGGTGTTATGCGGAAATTTCAATCAGATTAAGGTTGGGATAGATTAGTTTGGAAATCTAGAAACTAGATTTGTCTGGAATATGGAATTTCAGAAACTAGGAACTAGTCTCAATAGAAATTTTGTAGTGATTCTACTTTCTAGGTTATACATTATGCTGCAACCTAGAAACTAGAAACTAGATTGTAAATTTTTTAACATTATAATCTCTGAGTATTGTAATTTTTCTATCTTTACTTTTAGATGTATGAAGGGGATGTGGTGCTTACAGAGATGTATTCTGGCTCATAATTTACTCTTTTCTCACTTACAAAAGTTATTGGTTGCATTTTTTAAGTCAAACCTTAAATATTTTTACCTTCTAAGTTCTAAATCAGAAAAGGCTTTCTAGCACTCTGAGGTTTTCTATGAAGAGAAGTGGAGTCACAACATGAAAGTGTTTCGTGCATTAGGACTCTTTGCTGGTATGGTCATGATATGATGGTTATCTAAATATGGATAAAGGGTGTTTGATGTCAGCTTGTTGTTTTAGTCAAGTATATAATGTAATATCTTTATTTGTGATTCCTTCTTTTTGCTCCTGAATGAAGCAAGAAGACTGTTTTTGTAAAAAGTGCTTCTCAAAGCTTTGTGATACTCAAATTTCAGTTTTCTTTATGGTTGAATTTTTTCCTTTTATTTCATCAACGTGCGTTTATAGCATTTTCAAATTTAACAAAACAAATCCAATTAAGATTTAGCTGCTTGATCACTTTTTTAATTTTTCTTATTAATACAGTTGGCCAGAAAAGAAAATATTGATGCAACTTTGATGCAACTTTGATGCACCAATATAGAGACATATTATATGCACTTTGATGCAACTTTGGATACTATTGGTGTTCCAAGAAAGAAAATAAATTGCATCAATGTTTGGAAGAGTTGAGAGGGGGTATTATATGAAATTACAAGTAAATACCAATTGAATCCTTCCTTAACTTGCTGTTGAATTTAATAGAAGCAATTGTTGTGAACTTGTGATATGTAATAAGAAGTAATCGTTGTGAAATTGCAGGTAAATACCAATTGAAGACAAGATAATCAAATCTTAATATATTTGTAAAAAGTAGTGATATGAAGGAAACCTAAATTATTTAATAAATATATGTAATAAATTGAAATACTACACTGAATTACATAATTGTGTTGATATTTTTATATATTATTTTTGTTGCTTTTTGTTTCATAAAATGTGTTGCTTTTTGTTTCATCATATTGTTTTTTGTTGCATGCCTTTTGTTGCATCGTATTGTTAATTTTTTATTTTCATAATTATTTTTTCTAAGTTTCTATTTATCCTTGCTGTCTTTGAAATAGGATAATCATATCATATATTACCTCCGTCCATTTTTAGTTTGCCAAAGATGATAAACTTGGATCCACTATTTTAACTAATATATTTATGTAAAAATTAATAAATTTATACTTTTATGATAGTATTTTCAATAAAGAACATTTTCATATAATTTTCCTATTATCAATATTACTGTGCATAAATATATAATCGGTCAAAGTTGAAAATTTGTGTTTGGCAAACTAAAAGGGGACGGAGGGAGTATAAATATATATACAATCACCTGAAATGATAAATTTGAGTTTATAAATATCAGAAAAAAACAGAAACATGGGGAAACAACAAAAATAAAAAATAAAAAAATTTAAAGCTATCAACAAAATTAAACGCAATGAAACAGTATGCTACAAAATTAAATAACAATAGATTGATACAAAATACTAAGAAAACTTTTTCACTATTTTCTAGAATACTCTGTGATTTATACTAGAAAATTCAAATTTGATTTTTTTCCAATTTTTTTAAATGTTCAATATTTTAAATTTTAACATTTTGATTTTTCATGTTTTTAATATTTTACACTCTTTATAATTTGAATTAATTATTTGACTCTTATCAAATTTTATGATTTATATTTTATATCTACACACATCTATAATTATAAAATTGCATAATAGATGTCAACATGAAACCTAAATAAACAATAAGAAATAAGATATGAAAATTCATCAACAAAAATAAACAAACACAAAAAGAAACAAAAGGGCAACACAAAGAAACCATATAAAAAACAATGCAACAAAAGACAACATTAAAAGAACAACAATAATCGTAATAATAGTATTAAAAATATTTTGAAATTAAAAAAATTACAGCTTAAAATATTTACCTTTTTAAAAAATAAAATATTGTAAGTAGTTTAACTAAGTTATTTTCAAAATATTCTTATATTTCATGACATTTACATATATTTCACTCTTTAAAAAAATGAATTATGTATTCGTTGAATTTTTATTCACGTGTTTTATTGTTGATAAAAATTAAAAATTTTAAAATATATATCCAATTTTAATTTTTTCTATCATGTCTCATTTTATTTTCAATTTAGAACTATTTTTCTACCATTTTTTCACGATTTTAAATTTTTACATGTTTTTTACATTTAGTTTTTTTTTTTTGCATTCTTCTAGCATTTTTTAGGCTTTTGAACATCTTAGTATCAAATCTTTAATATTTTTAAACACTTATTAGTACTCCGTATTACATTATTATTTTCATCTTTGATATCTTACTCTATATTTTTTAAAATTTTATTTTTAAAATTTTTATATAATATTTTAATTAGTTTTCGGGTTTTAGATTTTCAATGTAGATTTTTCTTCTTTTTAATTTTTTTTAAAGTTCTTAACTTCTTAGTTAACATGATCTCATAATCGAAAATAATTTTTTCTAATCATAAAAGAGCGGTCCTTATATTAAAATCGAGAACACATACAAGACAACTTTCAGACAGAAATTACATATCCAATCGTGAACCCCAGGAAAAAACTTAGAGTCAGCCACCTAATACAAAGCAACATCACTCGTTAAACTTGAAACAGGCAAATTTAAGCCATAATAAAAAAGAAGTTATGTATTATTTTCCACGGTTTATATATTTGAAATTTTTATTTAAAAATTTACGCTTGTAATATTTAGTTTTCATTATAATTTTCAGAGTTTATTACCTATAATTTTTTATATATTTATTACCTTTTTACAATTTGAATTATATTTGTATCATTTTTTACTTTACATTGTTACATGATTCTTGTATGAGTTTTGCAATTTTAAATTTTAGTTTATCAGTGTATGGAGTATAAGTTTGCACTAATCTTGTTTTATAAAATGCATACGGCCACTTCAGCTTCCAGGCTCCAACGGGCATTTGAAGTGCGTGGATATATTAGTGAAAGAAGAATCTTACTGAAACTATTTTTGAAAAGGACATTCAAAAATGAAAAAGTGATATTATTTATGCCTTTTGGTCTATTCGTGTAAAATTCCCTAGAATATAATCTAAAGATTATAAGTGGATTGTTTTATACATTTTTCCTGTCTTTTAGTTCCTTTGAGAGCCAAAAGGGCTAGACTAATAAATCCCGAAACATATGGCCTAGCATAATTTGAAATAAGAGATATGCAATCTTTAACACAAATGTGTTGACAAACCGGGCATGTATATCTGGAATTCTGGATATATATGTTCCTTGAATTATGCACCACCATGATTGAAAGTGAATTGTTTTACACATTTTTCCCATCTTTTGGTTCCTTTCACAGACCCTAAGATATATGGCCTGGCATACTAATAGATGGAGTATCAATTCTGTCTTATTTCTATTTCTATAAGATAGAAGAAGAAATAAAGAGTAGGTGGTACTGATAGAAAGCAAGAAGAGCTGAGGGGAGGGGCGGAGGAAGTGGGTCCGAGCCCCAAACCTTTGCTGGTCTACCGCAGGCGGGGACGGGCTTGAGCCCACCTTCGTGGGCTGACTCTAGTTATTTTAATTAATTAGTTTTAATTATTCATAATATTTTTTTTCCTAGTATGATTTAATTAAGACTTCTATTCTTATTAGAATTAAAGGTTTCCTATTCTATTTAGTTTCCTAGAATGGTTTAATTAGGACTTCTATTCTTATTAGAATTAGAGGTTTCCTATTTTATTTAGTTTCCTAGTATATGATTTAATTAGGACTCCTATTATGTTTCTTACTAGGGTTTAGTTTCCTATTCAGTTTTGGATGTAAGGGTTATATAAACCCCTGCCTATGCTTATTCAGAGCAGGCATTAATAATATTGGTTTTAGCTATTTAGCTTGGGCAACGAATTTTAACGTTGATTGTTATTTTCCGCTTTCATCAATTGGTCCGACCTGCCGGATCCCGTCCCGCCGGAATGACGAGATCTAAGAACGATCGACTGACAAAATTGGAGGTCGAACAGGCCTTGATCAATTAAAAATTTAAATTTGACGCGCGCGGACAAAAACTTGACGCGCAAGGACAGAAACTTGACTCGCGAGGGGAGAAACTTGACGCACAAGGTCAGAAACTGGAAGAGCAGGCTGCCCAGCTTGCGGAAATCACAGCCTCCCTTGCAGCAATCGCAAAGGCCATTGTGCCGCCAGAGAAATCTCCAATTGCAACCGTCGAGAGCGACTCCTCCGGCCACGTCGCATCTGCCTTCTTCGATGATGGCGGACCGCGCAGCGCAGCCACAACGCTACTTCCCTCATTCGACGGCGAAGACCCAATTGGGTGGTTGGCGAGAGTGGGACAGTAGTTTGAGCTCAACAGGACTCCACCGGACAGACAAGTTGCAGTGGCTAGGGTTTATATGGAAGGGGCTGCCCTCTATTGGGTGACGTGGTTAAAAGCACGCAAGCCCGACCTGTCTTGGGAGGAATTTAAGCAAGCCATGGTGGCCAGATTTGATTCCCGATATCAGGGAAATAGGTTTGAACGGCTGTCGGGCGTCAAAGAAATTGGGTCGGCGGAGGAATACAATACCTTGTATGTTCAGCTGGCTAGTCAAGTTCCGGTATTGACCGACGATCATTATTTGGGCTATTACATGAGTGGACTTAAGAAAGCAATCTGAAGTTCGTTGCGCTTATTACGGCCGTATAACCTAGATACGGCCATGGAATTAGCCCGCGATGTGGAGCATAATTTGTCGGTTCAGAACAGAGGAAGTGGAGGTCCAAATTATATCTCCACGGGGTTACGTTCCAGCAGCTACTCCCGACCAAACACATGGTCTTTCTCGGCTGCAAGTGGTGGCAACTCGCGCAACCCCAGTGGCAGCTTCCCGAAGGCCACCAAACAGGCTATGGGGTCCACTTCTCAGGCTGTGGGGTCCACTTCTGGACTGTCCGGACAGTCCACAACGCGTTCTAGGTTCACCAGACCCCCCGAAGGTGTTAGAGGAATTGCGGGCTAAAGGATTATGCTTTAGGTGTAAAAAACCTTTTACACCAAGGCATGACTGCCCATTCAAGCGGGCGATGATAGCTAATGAAGACGAAGAGTTAGACCTCCAACAACACGATTATTGTGAGATAACAGGACATGAGGAAGCTCAGGAAGATCAGGAAGGCTCGGAAGGAGATAGAGGAGATTTTCCCGTCTATTCTATGGTTGGAATTTTCAGCCCTAGTACTATGAGACTACGAGGGGGTGGCAGGATGCACGGTAAACATTTTGATAGATAGTGGCACAAATCACAATTTTATTTCGTCATCCTTGGTATCCTTGTTACAATTAAATCTGGACAAGATAGACAGATTCGGAGGGCAGTTGGGAGATGGGTATAAGCAGGAGTCAGAGGGGGGTGTGTAGATAACTTCCTATCTCATTACCGGGGTGTGCGATTACGGCAGATTGTTTTGTGTTTGCCTTAGTTGGGGTTGACATCATTTTGGGTGTGGATTGGCTAGCCACTTTAGGAGAAGTCCGGACGAACTGGAAGAAATTAACAATGGAATTTGAGTTGGGTGGTAGACGAATAGAGCTAAGGGGTGATCCAACGCTGTCCAGAAACTTGGTCAGCCTTCGAAGCCTACTCAAGACCACTAGAGTGGAATTTTGTGAGATCATCATAGTCCGCGAAGCCGCTGAAGTTCCCGAGGCAGCTGCAGGAGCGTTAGATGGCCTTTTGGGACAACATACTGAGGTGTTTGAGGAGCCTCTTGACGGTCGATAGATCACCAATACAGTTGGTTCCGGGGTCAAAACCTGTGTTAGTTTGGCCCTACAGATACAGCCACTTGCAAAAAGATGAAATTGAAAGATTAGTTGAGGAAATGCTACGAGCTGGCATAATTTAACCTAGCGTAAGCCCATTCTCAAG